CTGTGACACATCAGCCTCCAGCACCTCGAAGCGTTTCTCCAGGGCCTGAAAGCGAGCCAGGAGCCGGTGCTTCTCCCACAGCCCCTGTGGCGACAAAGGCAGGGTGCAATGCAGCCCCTCGGGGAGGTGCGGAGCCCCGGGGGACTGCCTACTTCACAAAGACCCCTGTGAAAGGGGACCCAGACTACCTGCTCCCCAGAATCAGTGGCATCTTATTCACCTTCTGCTTCTCAGGAGAGGGCAGATGTTCCCCCTGCTCCATTCCTGGGACACCGCGAGATGGCCACAAGTTGGGGGAGCCATTTCATCACTGTGGAGCCATCATCTCCCCCACTTCCCCATCCCCTCAAACGGCTCCTTCAGCCATGGACAACACTGTCCCAGCTCTCCCTGCAAGGCACCCACCCGACCCGGGCCACCACTTTGCCCCTGGTCCAACACGGTCAGGTCCCCTGCCTCAGGCACATCGGAGGATGAACGCTTTCCAGCTCCCCACCATGGGAAGGCAGGGAGGCTGAGTGTCGACAGGACATTTGGGGAGAAGTACCAAGCTCCTGGGCATGTAGGGAGATGAGATGGTTAAAACGGCAGACTGGTAACAGGCCATAGTGGGGAACAGGGTGGACTTCCAGAAGCTCAGCCATCGGCATTGCCTGGGGTTACCAGGAGGCCCCAGCACAGGGGCGCAGATGCACCAGGGTACCAGGAGCCACGAGCACTGAGCTCGGGGTCATTCCATCCCCCCGGTACGGCAGTGGGATGCTCTGAACTGCCCCAGATCTCAGGGCAACAGATCAAGCCAGGCCAACTCACCGTAAGCAGCAGCAGTGAGGAGCAGGAGGAGCAGCAGCAGCAGAAACCTCTTCAGTGGCGGGTAGCGCCTGGAGCACAGAGAAGAAAGAGGCACCTGTACGACTGCAGCCACCTTCCCCCACTGCAGCGGTCCTCTGGATGGAGGCCAGAGGGAAGGCAAAGTCCAGCTGGGCTTCGGCACAAGACACCCACTCCATGCGTGCCAGGCTCTGCGGGACATCCCCTCTCCGGGGTCCTGTGGGTTTTCTCTATGCTTCCCCCATCCCAATGTCCCACCACCATGCTCACCTGGAGAAAGAGATGCCATCCTGGTGGGGAGCCGCACCGGTGAGGCGGTGCCAGGCAGCTGCCAGCCCCGAATACAGCCACTCCAAGAACCAAACTGCTGGGAGAGAAATCAAGCCTCAGGCAGGGTCCTGGAATAGATGTCCCCTCCGTCCCCAAGGATGGTCCTACAGGGCAATAAAGCCCCTCCACCCCATCAGAGAACAGCACACACAGCACGTGAGGAGTGGAGACACTGGCAGGGAAGAAAGGTGCTGCTGGAAACTCCCCTCACCAGCCCTCCACTCACCTGGGGAGGTGAGCACCTGCCAGAGGAAGGAGCCCACTCGGGAGGCTGCAGTCCTCAGCCCTGACCCAGAACTACTCTGGCCTGAGACAAAGTGACCTGGAAAGGAAGAAGCGAGGCAGTAAGTCACCAAACGGAGCCTGCATCATCACTATCCACTGCCCAGAGCAAAGGCTTTGCACAGGGGGTGGCATGTAGGAGAGGGGCTGGCAGCACCCTGGGCATAGTCAGGCCCTGGGCTGGTCCCCTTGGGGATGTCTC